CAGCAAGATCCCAATACCATTCTTGGCCCCAATCAACAGGTGGAGGGTCTCTAGGCCTGGCATCGCCACAGTAGAGAGCCTGACAACCTCAAGGGTATTCTTATAAACAATGGCAACTTTCCCACCCCAAGCCTCTGGTCTAACCTGGTGCTGGACAGCATAACTGGAGGGACAGGCCAGAGGCAGGAGTACACCTCCTTCACTACCCATCCACGTCTCAGTTAAGCAAGCCAGATCTGCATCGTTTTCCAGAATAAGATCGTGTTTTAGCTGGGCTTTATTGGATACAGACCTGGCATTCAATAGCACGAAAATTAGAGTGGAGGGACGACTGAGCTGGCTACCTTGAGCCTGGTAGGTGGTAACAGCGCCAGAACAACGGACAGCTTTCAGGCAATTGTTGACCATTTTCCTGGAAAGGGAAATAGTACCTACGCCATATCTTCCCCTACCCATAATCACCTGTTCTTGAAGCCCCCACTTGTAGGCAGGCCTTCCTCTCCATTCCTAGCACAAAACAGTCTAACAGTAGCAGAGAACTCAATTAAGGTAAGAATAAGTACACAATAATTAACAGTAACAAATTAACATAAACAAAATAAATTACGCACTAGTAATTGAATTAGAATCAATAAAAATAAGCAAGACATTAATACCATTTAAATAATTATTGCAACTTAGGGTAGGGTAAGCTAGTTCGTATAGTTAAACCAGGGGTCTCAAACATGCGGCCCAGGGGCCATTTGTGGCCCGCAGGATGATAGTTTGAGGCCCCCACCTTGCCTCCCCCCCCTGAATTGCCCACGCATCCTCTGCTGTCGAGAGTCAAAAAAAGCCTCACCCCGCTCACCGGCTCTCCCCCAAGACAGTGCCTCTTGCACCCTCCAACTGGAACTGCTGCCTGCCAGCCCACCCGCCTGCCTGTCTGCTGGCTGGTAGGCTGCAGTTCCGGATGGAGGGTGCAGGAGGCGCTGTCTTGGGGGAGAGCCGGCGAGCGAGGCGCGCTGCCGGCCCTTTTCCCCGAATGCCTGAGCCACCACTGCGCAATGCCTGAGAGCGGAGCTCGCTCCCATCCCGTCCTCAAAGAGTGCCTCCAAGCCGCCAACAGCAGCTGCCACTGCCTCTTCCAGGGAAGCAGCTCTTTGGCTCTCTTTCTATCTCAGCACTTCCAACAGCGCCACCAACAGCAGCTGCTGCCACCACCTCTACCAGGGAAGCGGCCCTCTGGCTCTCTTTCTCACTCGGCACCCCCAGCACCAGCTCAGCCAGTGGCCACCTCAGTGCCGAGCGGTGCTTCCTCCTCCTCCTCTTCATCCTGCTTCAGCCACCTCCGCTCTGGAGGCTGCCTGGGCTCGCCTCACAATGTTCGCTTCTCTGTCGTGGTGGAATAGCTGCTGCTGCTGAGTGCGCCTTTTTTGAGGGGGGCCTCAAAGGAAGGTTGCCGGACCTCTGTGTGTGTGTGTTTTGTGTGTGCGTGTGCACATGCATGCGTGGGTGCGCGCACCTGTGGGGGGCCCACCCCGTTCTGTTTAATTTTGCGGGTACCGGCAGGGGCTTTTCTC